TCGGTTTGGCAGAGGTGATGTGAAAACTTCTAAAGGAACATAACATTAGTAGCAGGGAAGACCAACTAGGGGATTGTCATCTTAAATAGAAGTAAACCATGATATTAGCTTTAATCAGGGTTTTGGTGATGGGAATAGAGAGAATTGGACATTTTCAAGAGCTGTTAAGGAAGCAGGATTAATTGAACTTGTCAAAGATGGGACTTGTGAGTGGTAGAAAAAAATCTAGATGACCCAGTTAGCTTTCAGGTTTCTGGATTAGGCTGTTTGCAGGGTGAAAGGAAGGAGAAAGAATAAAGGAGGTCTGGGGAAATAATGAGATTTAAGATATCAGGCAAACATCAATTAAAATTGTCTATTAGGCAGTCAGATATATCACCCTGGGTTTTTTTTTTTTCTTTTTTTTATTATTATACTTTAAGTTCTAGGGTACATGTGCACAATGTGCAGGTTTGTTACATATGTACACTTGTGCCATGTTGATATGCTGCACCCATTAACTCGTCATTTACATTAGGTATATCTCCTAATGCATCCCTCCCCACTTTCCCCTCCCCGGTGAAGGACCGGTGTGTGATGATCCCCTTCCTGTGTTCAAGTGATCTCATTGTTCAATTCCCACCTATGAGTGAGAACATGTGGTCTTTGGTTTTCTGCTCTTGTGATAGTTTGCTAAGAATGATGGTTTCCAGCTGCATCCATGTCCCTACAAAGGACACAAACTCATCCTTTTTATGGCTGCATAGTATTCCATGGTGTATATGTGCCACATTTTCTTAATCCAGTCTGTCACTGATGGACATTTGGGTTGATTCCAAGTCTTTGCTATTGTGAATAGTGCCTCAATAAACATATGTGTGCATGTGTCTTTATAGCAGCATGACTTATAATCCTTTGGGTATATACCCAGTAATGGGATGGCTGGGTCAAATGGTATTTCTAGTTCTAGATCCTTGAGGAATCGCCACACTGTCTTCCACAAGGCGTTTTAAGAAAGAGGTTTTAAGAAAGAGGTGTGAACTAAAGATACATATTGGGGGAGGGTTCATTCGAAAATAGATACTATTTGAATGGAAATGAATGAGGATATCCAGAGAAGAAAAACAAGGACTGTGAAGAATACCAATATTAAAGAAAAACTGAATTGGAATAAATGGACAAAAACGTGAAAGAATTAATCAGGAGAAAGCAGTATCCCATAAGCCAAGTGAGGAAAGAATTTCATGAGGGCAAAGAGGTTAATAGGTTCTAGTTCTACAGAGGGACTGAGTAAGATAAGGCACGTATATTCACATGTGTGTTTACGGAGAGGACACTTTCTTAAAGATGAAAACACAACCAGTTTAAAGGCTGATGATAAAGAACCGGGACATAGATTTTTGACAATCTGGATATACAGCTGAATGGAAGCAGGTGGCTTAATACACAGTCAGGGATGCTGCTGAGTACACACACACAGAGATGAACCTCAACCAGGTGAAGCCTAGCCTCTTCCACCAAGGCAGGTGGGGAAAAAAAGAGAGAGAGAGAGACAATGAGCACAAATACCCACAATCTGAGAAATATTATTTTGACTAAAGTAGGAGATGAAGTCATTTACTGTGAATGACGGGGAAAGTTTAGGTACCCCACAAAAGCTTGAAATAATTGTTGAGAGAAACTAAGGAGAAAATATACTTAGGATGAACGGAAAGCTTATGAAGAACTGCTGGTTTTGTTAAAATATGTTATTAAAGAAATGGAGTAATGCCTGACAATGACAACATCTACATATAATCACGACAGCAGGTAGCTGAATTGAGGAGATGAGAGAAACAGAAGCTTTTAGCGATAGCAGGAGAGCCCACAGGGATGCTGAAATGACTAAGAATGAAAGAACAACTTGGGTGAAAAAGTCTACTAACCTAGTGCCAAAGTCTTCAATGAGAAAATATGATAAAATGGTAGATAATAGATGGCCAGAAGTCATTAACTGCAAGGAAAGAGGTATTTTTACATCAAGAGAGCAGTATCTTTGGAATTGTCTCTGTTAGGTGAGGGAGTCAGTCATTCTAAAGTAGTGAGGGTACAAAAGAGGGATGAGTCACAGTGCTGTTTTTGAGGGTAAAAGTGGTTTCCATGTATGAGTAGAATAAGTACACAGGACAGAAGTCTTGTCTGGAAAAAGGGTTTGAGCCTGCCGAGTGAGAGAGTGTGGGAAGGCAGAGGAAGTGAAGCAAGGACAAGAAAGTGCAAAAGAGCATAGAGAGAAAGATAGAAGAAAAGATAGACTCGAGGTACCTATACTCTGGGTAGTAAACACAGATAACAGAGATAGGAGAAAATGGAAGAATTAACTGGCTTGATGATTTCCAGCGGGAGTTAGTAAAAAGTTGATTCTGAAAGAGTGTAATCAAATGTAGATCCCATGAAGAGCCCAAAGCCAGATGACCATAACGACTTGATAGGCAGGCTTTCAAGAGAAACTGGTACAAGCTCCAGATTTTCAGACACCTTATCAAACCCCCTTGCGATCAGAGAAGGCCATTTTTTTTTATTACCAATTTACGTTACCATGTGCTCACTGAAGTAATTTGAGTAGTTAGAATCTGTTAATTCAGCCAAAAAGTCTGACCTGTGGTGACATTAAAAGAATGTGAGAGGGAACTGCTAGGTAAAGCCCAAGACTGTGTCCTAGAATATTGATTCTCAAGCCTTTATGTGCATAGGCTTCGCTCCTGGAAAATGTTCAAAGGCAAATTTTGATTTACTAGTTCTGAGATTCTATATTTCTGACAAGCTCCCAGACAATGTCAATATTTGTGGTCCAGGGACATTTTGATTAGAAAGGTTCCCTAGAAATCAGCTTTTAAATAAGTGCATTTTGTTAATCATATGAATAAAACACATGGCGAATATACAAGGAAAAAAATTATGCTTAGGTTTAAAAGTTCCATTTTTTAAAATATGTGAAATTGAACTGATAATGGCCTATGATATGCTAATTGGCTAAAAGCACTTGAAAGGAGTAAATGAAGAAATCAAGTGGACAAAAAAAGAGTTGGTAAAATTTAGCCATTTTTATTAATACCACTCAAGTTCATGACACGAGCCTGCCATGAGTTCAAAATAACCTATATAAACTGACAGGTGATATAGTAAGAAAATTAATGTATACCTAAACTGAATATCCTTCATCATTACTATGTATTTCTCTTGAGGATTTTTAATACATATACATTATATTGAGCCTGAGGGAAACATCAAGGTAAATCATTTCATGTCCTATGTCAGTAGGCAATTAAGAACGATGTTATTTCAGAAAATGAGAGTTCAGGGCGATAAAGGGGACTCACAAGGTATCAGAAAACCAGTTATAAAATATTGCACATTTTTGAGCACTTTTAGTCTGTCATGCTCCCACTATTGATAAAATGCAAATCGTTCAAAGGCAACCATGTAACATGAACTTTTATGATTTATATTCCTGAAATACTGGAACTCAATTTTCCTGCCTGATCAAAGCTGTTTTAAGATAAAGAAACAGACTATCAGACAGAAACCTATAAGAATCAAATCAATAACCATTTTTAATTAGTTGATAAAATGCCAAAGGTGATTCATATTTTCTGTGGAAAATCAGAGTTTAATGTTCTCTAATTAGTGTTCTACTACTAAGATAATTTCCCTCAAAAATCATAGCAAACAATATACCTTCAAAGAAGTAAACTTGAAAAAAGACATTTTGCCAATTTTCTACAATTACATATTATCTTTCAGTTTAATTTTAAAACTCAAACATTAGTAATATAATCATATTTCTCATTTCTTGAAACTGTTTAGAATAGTCTATTATAATGCTGACAACATGTCTTATAAAGTTAATAAATAATTTAAAATAACTTTCCAATTTATAAATAGTTAACTCTAAGAAGAACTGGTGATGAAATTGTCTCCCCTTTTTCAAGCAGCCTAAAAAATAGATTTTTTTTTCCAGAATATATATTTATTTTTTTGTTTTTCTCCAAAAGTTCCAACCCCAACAACAAACATTAGCTTGTAACTGAGGTAATGTTGTATTTGTAAAAATACAATAGATTTTGAACTTCAGGATTTGAATCCTAGAAAGAAAAAGCAGAGCTAATGTACACATTTAGATGTGACCTTCCCATGGATAGAATTACTTTTCATTCATAATCACTGTTGTTTTAGCTTGCGTATTGTATTTACTCTGCCTGTTAGAAATTCTTTTACAAACTGTTGCCGATCATATACAAAGATGCATGTTTTATAATTGTTGAAGTCGAAAAATTAAAGCTTTGACAATTTCCCTAAAGATGAAGCAGCTTATATTAAATTAATAAAACTTCCTATTTGTGAAGGTCAAAATTATACCATCTCAGAAGGGAATAACAACAACAAAGCATCTGTTACCACATGTAAATACTGAGAAAGGCTGCACATCTTTTAGTTAAGGTAATACACAAATACCTGGGAAATTTAAATACCTTATAATATATGACAGGGATTGATGACTATAAAGAATAACTTTTTGATAATAGTGAGCATATAAACATAGTCCTAAGTATAGTATCTATATTATTCTATTCTATTTTACACTATTCTACTCTACACAATTCTGCAAGCTTGCTAAGGCCTAGCCTTGAGGTAACTGAACAATATACTAAAGAAATCAACATGAATTCATGTTATAAAATTGTTAATTTACAGTTAAATAATATGTAAGTTAAGGTAAGTTTATGAAAGGCATCCCTAGTCAGTCACAGAAGAATCCAGAAAGATTTCTCTAGGCTAAACTTTGATTTTGCTTGCTATCTAAAATATACTTTAAAGATATATTATCTTTAAACATGTTATCATTTAACATTTTATCATATTGCATATTTAAAATTTTATAATATTGCATTAATCTATCAACTAATAGAATCACAGATAACAAAGCACGGACTTTACAAGCAGCACAAAATGTGTACACATATAAAAATTAATGCATAACCTACATTGACTTTTTCTTTTAAGTCTGAGAAGTTGCCTTCCTTCCGATAGATTGCAAACTCAGGACTCTGCAACACGGCTTCTGAGCGAGTAATCCAACTGTGAAGTTCAGTTATATCAACATCCAACCTAAGACAGCAAAAAATAAAAGTCATTATTTCTTATCTCTTTCTTCTACATAAAAAAAGGAATTTATCCGCATTTATCATTCTTTCCTCAATCTGAGACGCCTGCCTGATGCCTCTATTAGTATTAATAGCACCACTATTTTCCCCGTTAGGTAGACTCAAATTTGGAGTCAGCTTTGATCTAGAGTCTTATGATCACAGAGGTCATTTTATTCACCTCAATGTAAAAATCACTTCTACAATATCTCCTGTAAGCTATTACCCAGCCTCTGCTTGAATGTTTGCACTATTTAAAAAAGTACTACCTCCCAAGATAAACTTTTGTTTTTGGAAAGTATTTACGAGAAAAAAGAAATTCCTGCTGGTGGTTACCATTGAACCACATGCTCTTCTGTAGTCTCCAGTCATATTGCCTCTGGGTTTGGCCACGTGACTTTCTGTCACAAATGGGACAACAGTAAGAGTATTGCAAGTAAGGTTTTGATAAGTGCTTGCATGTCAGAGCTTGACTTTTTAGAGCACACATCCTGAGAAGGCAACAATTATGTAAGAAGTACAATGACCTTGAGGAGATCATGTTTTAAGGAAGTTTAATCTATCCATGTGAAGAGGCCACATGAAGAAGCATGGGGCACCAGGAATGCAAATAAAGCCCTCTGTGACCCATCTCAATGCCAGCTGAAGACAGACAAATGAGTGCTCCAGTTGATGCCACATAGAGAAAAGAAATGCCCAAAGGGCACTGCCCAAGTTGAAGAACTGTGAGAAATAATAAGTGTTGCTTTAAGTCACTACATTTTGGTGTAAGTGGTTATGCTGCCATAAATACAGACCCCCCATCCCGTTTTTTTTAAAATTTTTTTTTTTTTTTTTTTTGCAGAAATCTTCGGAGTCACCAGGGATAAATTATTCATTGTAATCAGGTGATTTAGGTATAGAAGAGCCAAAATATGGACTCAACCCAAGTGTCTAATAGAATAGTATTAAGCCTTTAAGAATATGAATATCCTTTCATTTGCAGCAACATATATGAACCTGGAGGAAATCGTGTTAAGTGAAATAAGCCAGGTGTTATGACATGATCTCATTTACATGTCTCAAATACATATGACATATCTCAAAGACATATGACATGTCTCAAATACGACATGATCTCATTTACATGTGGAATCTAAAAAAAAATCAAACTCAAAGAAATAGAAGACAACGTTAGTTTCCAGGAGCTGGTGGGGGTAGAGAGTAGTTGGAAAGATATTGGCAAAAGGATACAAAATTATAAATATTTAAAATCAGCTCTTTAAATTCATCAGTAGATACCTGATCGTCAGCCTACCCTATGCTTAGTCACTTCAGCGGATATTCTATGGTTTGTTGGTATCTTAGTTTCCTTAAGTTTGGTACTTAAAGGAAACATATCAGTAGTATGTAGTATAAATAAGGAAGAATAAACAATTATCTTTTTGGTTTATAATACTTTCATTGGTATAGCCCATGATTTCAATAAATATTTTCACTTCAATATTAGACTTTCAACTCACATTGCAATTCAATTGAGTTAAAACTTCCAGAATGTTTTCACATAAACTATCATTAAACCAGTTATATCACAACCTAATTACTATCACAAACTTGTGACCTGGTCTATTGAACTCCAATTTCGGGACTTTGAATCATATAAACCTGTTAGAATTTCTCACATTAGTTGCAGGCTATTGTTTTAAGATTAAACAGATACAGAACTTAATGGAACACAAAGCCCTTACAAAAACATAATCTCATTTTATATTCTTACAAAATTCTTTGGTTGGGTAATCACCAATTCCAACTGCCCATAGGATGAGATGGCGCTTCAGAGAAATTAAGTTAATTGACCTCAGTACCACGGATCAGAAACTTATTTTATCTAGTTCACCATCATGTCCTTCCACATCAAAAAGGGGATGGTTCATAGCATACAGATTGAGTTGTTATTTATCAGGGCTATCCAACTTGAAATTAAGAGACTAGGGATCTTGATTCCTCTAAATTCCATGTCACTGAATGTCAGTAAGTTATTTGTGTATGCATTATAAATGTTTATGGATTTTTATTGTGTGATATATGATTTTTATCTTTCCTATATTTTGTATCCACAAGTTTGATTATCAGGTTTCTATTTCTTCATTCATAATGTTGATTAAAATATAGAGTACAATTACATGCTGTAAAAATCTTTCTCTCACACTCTCTTCAGCGATGTTAACTCCTTGAATAAATACTCTCCTACTATGGTCATTTGGTAACCTACCCAAACGAGTGCATCATTTGTGCAGATTTATCATCACAATGTCTTTAAACATTTTCATTTTTGCTTTGGCCCAACATAAAATTTCCTGTGTCTCTCAATCTGCAAGCATCTACTTGCCAGTATATTGGACAGAGGAGTGCTGGAATGCTAATACTTCAGGGGTGACCCTTAACCAGTGAGAGCTTGGAATTGGTGGATCAATATCCCAGCTCCCTTGCCCCTCAGTTAGACAATACTGAAGTATGATACACACAGTGTCTCAAAGGGTTCCCTGCATGATTGAGCTCCAGTTCCTTCCAGCAATAACCTGATCCCTAAATGTGTGTCATCCTTTATTGGCTACATTATTTTTCTTATCTCACTTCCCTACTTTGATTCCTGGGGTCACTTTCCAAATAAACTGCTTGCATCTGAATCCTTCTCTTCAGATCTACTCTTGGGGCAACCCAAACTAAGGCAATAATCAACACCCTCAAATGAACCTAGCATCCTGCCATACTTTTTTCTTTTTTTTTTTTCCCCCCCCAGTTGGGCTCTGAGTCTCTACAGGAACTATTTAAAACCTTTTTTCAAAGCTCTGGCTCATCCTCTTTCTGCAGCTCTCTCAGCAGATGATCTTGTTCTCTACCTTGTTCTCTACTTGTACCTACTCTACAAGTAGAATTATCAGAGTAGAACTTTTTCACTTCCTATTTCCAAACACCATCAGATCTGCATGTGTAGCCACCATTCTCATTCTGTTCTCTTACACTTGAGTTTCCCTTCTTTTAATTAAAATCATTCCCACTACCTACATTTTGAACTTTATTCTCTTACTTTTGCTCGAGCATCTGAGTACATCCATTTTCTAATATTTATTTGAGACGGAGTCTCACTCTGTCACCAGGCTGGAGTGCGGTGGTGCGATCTGGCCTCACTGCAACCTCTGCTTCCCAGGTTCAAGGGATTCCCCTGCCTCAGTCTCCCAAGTAGCTGGAACTATCGTTAACACTGTTGACCATACTATCCTTTTGAAATTTTTCTTCCTTTGGCTTCATGATGCCACTCTATTCTAATTTGCCTTCTATTTCTATGACCATTGGTAATTTTTTCTTTGCAGGTCCATCCTCCTCCACCCTATCATTACGTACTAGATTTGATCATGCCTTGAATTACAATCTATTTATCAATGATTCTGATACGTGTATCTCTAATTTAGGCACTTCTTCTGAATTCCACAGCTATAAAACCATCTGCCTTTTGGATGTCTCCACTTGCATGCTGCAAAATCTCCTTAAACATTATATGCCAAGGTTTAATGTTTGATCTTCTCCCTCAAACTAGTACTCTATCAGTATTCCCCAGATCAGTAATTAGCATCACCACCCCTCATATCTGTTATCTTCATTTCTGCTATGGACTGAAATTTGTGCCCCACAAAAGTTCATATGTTGAAGACTAATTCCCAATGTGATGGTATTAAAAGATGAGGTATTTGGGAGGTGATTAGGTCAAGAAGGTAGAGCCCTCATGAAATGAGTACTCTTAAAATGATCTGAAGAGATCAGCGTTCTCTTCCACCATGTGAGGGCACAGGGAGAGGGTACCATGTATGAACCAGGAAGCCTGCCCTTACAAGACACTAAATCTGCTGGTTCCTTGATATTAAACTTCCCAAACTCCAGAACTGGGAGACATAAATTTCTGTGCTTTATAAGCTACCCAGTGTACGATATTTTGTTACAGCAAACCAACTAAAACCCTCTCTCTTCCTTCCCATGTTTAATGTATTGCAAAGTCTATCTGTCACACATACATTCTCTATCTCCTGAATATGTATGCTTCTTCCTGTCTCCATAGCCAGAACCCAAATTTGTGTTGCCATTAAATGTGACCAAAAATACTGCAATATTTTTTCACTTGGCCTCTGGGCAATATTTATAGAACCCTCTATTTTACGTACTACTGGAAAAATTTTCATTTTTTTTTAATTGATGCATAAAAGATGTACTTAGTTTGGGGGTACATGTGATAATTTAACACATCCATATAATTTGTAAAGATCACATCAGTGTACTTGGGATATCCATCACCTTAAATGTTTGTCTATACTAGATACATTCAAATTATTCTCTTCTAGCTACTTTGAAATATACAGTAGTAAAAACATACCTCATTATATTACCTTCATTTGTAAAACCAAAGACTTTCTCATTTTTCTTAAAGAACAAAATTTCAATATGATCCTTTATAATCTGACCTTCATAGACCCCTTAACTGTATATTCTACTTTGTCTTTTATTCAAGTACTTGTAGAAACAAATTTCCCTTCATATTTTCTAAAGTAATTCAGAGCTATTCTTTATTCTTGTTCCTCCTCCAATGGAATAAATTCCTTCACTGACTCTCCCAAAATATTTTGAAAATTTAGTTGTTAGTATAATGCATTTGGGCCACTTTGGTGAAATTTATTTGTCTGACTCAATTTTACGTCAGATACCCTCTGACTCATAAATGTGAGATGGGAATATCCACCAGTCACTTTCAAATTCACGCTTTAAATTTAATCTCTCTAGTCTCACCCTCTTTTCATTTAGACTATCTAGGAAAGATTGCTCACTTCTACTTAGAGGTCCCTGAAACCCAAACGTGGCTCAAGGTACTAGGCTGACATCACGGCTGAAAGAAATTTGCTAAAGCCTGTGTTGGAGAAAGATTTATACCAGGCATAAAAT